TTGTGCAGCAAAGTGCTAATTCGCATTGATTCCAGCATAAACTAGTTTGTTTACCATTGCTGGGCTCTTCTGCACTGGCAGACTTGTAGTTCTGCTCACTCCCCGGGGCTGCGCTATTTTCCCTTGTCTTTTATGGCCAGAAAGAAGCGAGAGACTGGGAGGAAGCGAGTGATGAAGGGGCACGAGGGGAGGCTGTAGCCCCTGGCATTCAGTGTTACGTTAAGCCGATGGAGTACAATCGAAAAGCCTGCCTGTTTCGGACTTCAGAGCAACATGGATGGACTTCAAGGAAGAGGCTGGAGATAGCTCTGATATCTTGCTTTTTTATTTCATTTTTAACCCCACGACTTCACCACGAGACTAGAAGAATTGGGGCAGCTGGGCCTTAGGCAGGCTGCAATCCAATCTGCTAACCTGTGATTTTTCTAAAGAACTTTTGACACGAGATGCACTTGGAACCGGCAATGCTAGCTTGCATAGTTGAATTTTACATGGCAGCGACTTAATTCTTAAATTCCTGATGAGTGACTTCTAGCATCACTGCCCTTTAGAAGGAGCCCAGTATTATCTAGAATTGTTGGTAACTTTTTTTACTGTTGGTTTTTAGGGACATTTAAAGGTGAACTTAATGAAAGGAGTTGCATTGATGTTTAGGTGAAAGTAATTTATTTCAATAAAACTTTTTGGGAAGCCTTACCTTGCAATGCTGTTAGTAAACTTCAAAGAATTTTTTTGAGATCATTGGTTTTGCTCAGAGCACAGCTGTTTGTTTTTATTGTTTAAAAAAAAATAAAATCTTGGTCAGTGTTGGAAATTGTTTGGAAATTTCTGTAGTGTGTCTTATGTTCCTGGCACGTGTTTGGTTTGTAAATGCAGCACTTGCACTTTCGTCGTGACAGGAAGGGGGACCAAAGGGAACACAGTGGGTTTAGGGAAGGTTTTTCCAAGCCCTCGGTTGTCAACCAGTTACTGGGCCTGGAATCCAGCCATGCTGTGAGCATGAAGTTGGAAGAGAAATAGTATCTGGAGGACTGTAAAAATGAAGCAGGGTTTTGAACTGTCTGATTGACCGCCCCAGCATTTATCACCACACACTCACAAAAACTGTTCCCTGACTTCTGATGCCCGTGCTGGTCTGGGAAGGTGCCAGCAAAGTGGCTGCCCTTGGCCAGCACCCTTCTCCCTTTGTGCTGAGGGCCCTGCTGTGGGTTGTGTGAAGCTGGTGGCAGCTTTGATCCCTTCATCATCATCCCGCGGCTGCTCCGAAGCAGGAGGTGAGCTGGTCTTGCACAAACCCCTCTTGCTGTGGAGCCTCCGGTGGCTGAGCTTGGAGTGGGGATGAGCAAGGGGGGTGCCCAGTTTGTGGGGTGGAGGCGAGTGTCCTGGAACTGAAACCAGGAGCAGAGGGAGAGCTTCAGAGACCCCTGGGCAATTCCTCATGGATTCATCTCCTCCTGTTGTGTTCCTGACCGCCTGCGGGCGGCTTTCCCCTTCATCCTGCTCCCTGGTGGCTCCCTCTGGTGCTGGGCCTGGTCAGCTGTGGGACGGCATCCGAGTGATGTTGGTGCTGAGGGTGCATTAGGGCAGGGGTCAGTGGTGGTCTCTTGGCTCTGCTCCCTGGAAAGGGAGAAGCTCGCTTGGCTTTCCCTGCATCGATACGAGCCGCATCTGTCCCACCAGAGCACCACAACCAGCAGGAACTGTGAAGAAATAACTTCACCAGTGTGGGACCGAGCGCCTCATCTAGCCCAGCTTCCCCTGCTCCATCCAGTTCTGTGTCCTGGGCAGCTCGGGGTGCACCCGAGGCAGCGGTGACCCCCTCCCCATGGCCCAATGGGGTTTAAAAGTGTTCCTCCACCTCCTGGGCAGCTCCGGCCCTGCTCCAGCCAAGCCCCCAGCGCCTGCTACCGGGGCCCTGCAGGGTGCCCGGCCTCTGGTGCCCCTTGGGCCATGAGCTCAGTGGCTCTCGGTGCTCCCTGCCCCTCGCTGGGCTTTCTGCTCTGGCTGAGAGCTGAGAACCCGCTGAGAACCCGCATCCTGCCCCGGGATGAATGCGGCGGGGGCCTGGGTGAGGTGTGAGGGCCTGAGGCCGCGCAGAGCCCCCCTCACGCCCGGCCGCAGCTGCAGGCAGCGTGGTGAGGCCGTCCCGCTGCGTGTGGAGATGTTGGGGTGTGCCGGGTGTCCCTGCTGGCACAGGGAAGCCCATCTCTGCTTCAGAACCGTGCCCGCTGCTGTCCCAGGCACAAGCGAAGCGCTGAAGCCGGCCGGGCTGTCCGCAGGCTCTGCCCTGCACCACACCTCCAGGGGCTTTTCGCAGCCCGCACAAACAGCTGGGGCTTGGGTTGCCGCAGTTCTCCTCCCCGTGCCAGCCCCAGGTGGTTCAGCCTCGCATGCACAAACAGCAGCTTTAGCAGGTGAAAATGGCTTTGCTGCGATTGTCCCCCAAAGCGTTTTCCTAGTCCCAGCAGATGCCTTCTGCTGGCTTCTCTCGGGCAGTTTGTGGGGAGCGAGCGAAACAACCCCAAAAAGTGCCCTCGAGCTCAGTCCTGGGGTCTGTCCTCGGCCCAAAGCTGCCCAAAGCCTCGCAGGGGTCGAGCTGTGCTCCCTCGGCTCCCGGTCACCCTGGCAGCGGGGTGAAGGCGATTTTGGACAAAATTACTGTTCACATGGGGTGGGAGCAACAACCAGGCAGGTCCCACACCCCCACCCCACAAAAAGCCTGATTTTTCCGGACCACCCTGCACCAAGCAGCATCAGTGTGGGTTGGTTCTTTCAGCATTGCAAAAAAAAAAGGTGATTTTTAATTCTTTTTTTCCATTTTTTTCCTTCCCTTAGAAAGGCAAAGCGAAGCGGGAGCGTGGCGAAAGAAGCAGCCGGAGACGCGGGAGGGGAGAGCCCGGGGTACAGACAAACATTCTCTTTATTGAGCTACACATGAATTTTCCATTAGTCAGAGAAAGAGATTGGCAGTGTGTAATATATCACAGAAACCTCACTGATTGGTAATAGAAAGGCTTAGAAAGACCTGGCGCTTTATATATATATATATATAATATTTTTAGTTTCCTCTTTATTTATTCATTTTCTTTTAAACAGGTGTGACTGCTCTTCTTCAGCAAAGATAACTCTTAAAAGTGAAACCGTGAAGACGTCTGGTTACTAATCAAAGTAGAAATGGTGAAGGATTGGTCATGAAAACTGTGGCTTTAATGTAAACACTACATTCGATTTTTTTTTTTTTTTTTACTTTTTGTGGTTTTGTGTGTTTTTTAAAATTTTTAAATTATTTTCATTCTCTCTTTTTTGTATTTTTGTCTTTTTTTGTTTGTTTTTAAAGTTTTTTTCTTTTTTTTCTTTTTTTTCTTTTTTTTTGCAGCACAAACATCCCCACATGAGAAAAAACACCATTCACTAAAAGGGAGGACATGGGGTGGGGGGGAGAGAGGGAAGGGGGGGAGAAAAAAGCAGCACAAAAAAGCATTCACTGGAAAGTGTTAAAAATGAATAAAATGAATAAAAACAAAAAAAAAAGAAAAAAAAAAGAAAAAAATATGTATATATGTATAACCCCTCCCCGAAGCCCCCAAATCAACCCCGAACGGGAAAATAAAGACGCGGAAGCCGATCTGGTGTGAAACACGGGGTTTTTGGGAGCGGAGGTGGAGGCCGGGCAGGGCTGTGCTTCTGGATACGGGCCGGAGGCTGAACGAGGCGCTGGAGCCAGGAGGGGATGGAAAAAATGGGGGAAAAAACCCCGGAATGGAGAGCGCCGCCGGCCGCACCCCTGGCTCCCGGCTGGGGAGGGATTTACCTAAAGTGAGGTGGAAAATTTAAAAAACGAAACGAAACCAAAAAGCCCCAAAAGGGGAGCGAACGCCAGCTCGTCCCTGCCCGCACGGAGGATGCGCCGCCGCGCTTTCTGCCCAAAACAGCCGGGAAAAGGGAAATGGGAAAAGATCTTTTGTTTGTTTGTTTCCCTTTTTAGCTAGGACGCACGGCGAGGAGGGAGTTCTTTTTTTTTATTTTTTTTTTCTTTTTATCCTATTTCCCTCTTTTTTTTTTTTCTTTTTTTTTTTATTAAAAATAACATCCTTGAGCTTCCCGCCGCAGCGGCTGACCCTGGCCGCGGGGCACTGGAAATAAAACCGGTTCATCGTAAGAAGAAGAAGTCAAAAAAGAGAAAAAAACAAACAAACGAACCAAAACTACCGAAAATAACCCAAACCCGCTCAAAGACGCGCCGGGAGGAGACGCTCCCCCCCGAGAGCACCGGCACGGGGCCACGGGCAGGATCCGGCCCCAGCCCCACCGGGGGGTGGCCAGAGCTGGAGGTGCCCCAAAACCCCCGAGGCGCACCCAGCTGAGGCCAGGGACCCCCCTTCTGCCCGCAGCTCTTCGAGACAAACTAAAAAGGTGGTCGTGGATTTGTTTTTTTTTTTATATATATATATACGTATATATATAATTTTCCTTATGCCTTTTTATTTACCAACTTGCATGATTATGATTACGATTTTTTTTTTTAATTTTATTTTTTTTTAATTTTCTTTTTTTTTTTTCCTCTCGTTCGGTTTGGTTGTTTCTTTCGTTTCGCTTGGTGTGTGTAAGTGTGTGTGTGTGTGTGCGTGCGCGTGGCCGCGTCGCTTCTCTTCTGCTTCGCCCCTCTCCCCGCGCCGCCGCGGCCGCGGGGGCTCAGTACAAGCCGCAGCCCCGCAGGTTGTTGGCGATGATGATGTCGGTGACGGCGTCGAAGACCACCTGGATGTTGTTCGTGTCCGTGGCGCACGTCATGTGGCAGTAAATCTCCTTGTTGGGCGAGCGGTTTTTGCTCTCGAATTGTGCTTGGATGTAGGCGGCCGCGTCCTCGTAGGTGTTGGGACCTGCGGGCACAGGGGGGGACAGCGCGGGGGGCGTCAGGGACAGGCACCGCCACCCCCCTGCCACGCTGCTGGAAAAGTATTTTGTCTTGAAAAGAGCAGGCAAAACCCCTTTTAGTCCTTTTTTTTTTTTTTAACCCAGGTGAGATTTTTTTCCAGCAGCCCATCAGTGTGACCCTGGGCCTCAGCCTTGCTCCCCAGCATCCGAGGGGCACCACACCGAGCCCCCCCTGGCACAAGCAGGCACAACACCCATGGTGCTGCCACCACAAGCTGGGAGCAGGGGTTACCCTTTCCCCTTTATCCCTCCCCTTTCCCAATTTTTTCCCCTATTTCCCCCACAATCTACCCCTTTTCCTCCCGCATTTCCCCATTTTTTCCCCTTTTCCCTTTCTTTTCCCCCCAAATCACAAGCACCTGGGCTCTGCCTCCACCACCTCCCTCCCCAGGTGCCGCTGCTTTGCCCTCCCCACCCCACTCCTCTATTTCCCCCCGGTGAAGGCAGGCAGCCCCCAGCTGCCCCTGCCTGGGCTGGAGGGATGCTTGGTGGTCCCTGAGGGATGCTCGTCCTGGCCCCAGGGTAAGTCCCTGCAGCACATCCACGGTGCACAGGGGTGAAAGGCCGGGGGGCCGCATGCCCCCCGGTCAGGCAGGCAGGGGCTGGGAGCACTGGGTGCCCTCTCCAGCATCACCTGTGGGTGCCCTCAGGGGGAAGCCGGGGCTGAACAGGAGCTTGATCCAAGAGTTTGGGATGGGTGAGGGGCAGCCGGTGGGGCTGGGGCCCCTCGGGGATGTGTCGCTGTCTGTTGGCTTGGCCCCTTGGGGAGTTTTGCTTTTGCATCGTGGGCTGGAGGTGGGGGGCAGCTGTTTGAGTCCAAAAATGTGCATTATTGCATTAAGCTGCTTACGGCAGTGAGAGTGGCTGTGCCCGGCCCCTCACGGAGAGCCACAAAGCCTGAATTATGCTCCTGAAAGCGCCTTTGGAAGAGCAGCTATTATCTGGAGATTTATTTTCCTTTTCCAGCTCGATGCTTCCCCTCCTTCCTGGTGCAGGTGGGGGCTGAAGGCACAGGGAGGTGACCGGGTGCCACCAGGCTGCCCCCGTTAGGGCAGGAGGAGCCAGGAGGTGCCGAAAAGCTCCCGGGTGGCTTTGGACATCCCAGCACATGTGGCCTGGGAAGGAGAAGGGGCAGGGGAAAAGCTGCTGCGTGCTGGCAGTGCTGTGAAGCCTCCAGGGGATGCTGCTGGGGGCCGGGGCCAGTCCCTGGGTGCTGGTGGCCACTGTGGGTGCTGGGCAAAGCTGCTGACATCAGGTGTAGGGAGGGGTGCTGGAATCTCTCAGCTGGAACTTATTTTTTCCTCAGAAAAAAAACACAGAGTGGATTTCTTTCTACAGCGCTGTCTTGATTCCATTTCCTCCAAGCTGAGTTGGTTTCACTCACAAGCTGGTATAATTCCCGAGTGATTTCACCCATTTCTGTTGTGACGGGGCTCTTCCCTTCCAGCAGTGTGCCCCGTGTGAGGGGACGCAGGCGGGAGCCCCATCTTCAAGGCCCTCTCATCTCCACTCCTGCAGCCGTGCTCCAGGCCCTGTCAGCAAACCCTAGGGAAGGCCGAGCGTCCTGTGGGCCTCATGGACTTGGTTTTCCTCTCCTTCCATGCCCAGCGCTTTCCCTTCGCTGGCTTTTCTTGTTTTTCTCACTCCCCTTGGTGGGACCGCAGGGGTCGTGCTCTGGAGAGCTGCTGTTCCTCTGGGGATGCACCTGGAGCTCTCTGCCCCGATGGCTGCTCTCGTGCCTTTGCCAGAATAATTCCCCAAGCACAAGCCATGGCTCAACCCCAAGAGGTGCCCCTTGGGGTGCTGGGGCCATCCCATGGATTGGAGGTGGGCAGTGCGATCGCTGCCCTGTGAAGGTGATGGTGTCCCTGTTCCCCCCACCCCGTGGTGCGGCGCGGCCCCGGCACGTACCTGTGTATTCGGGGAAGCAGATGGTCAGAGGAGACTTCTTGATCTTCTCGGCAAATAGGTCTTTCTTGTTGAGGAAGAGAATGATGGAGGTATCAATGAAGAATTTGTTGTTACAGATGGAGTCGAAGAGCATGAGAGATTCGTGCATGCGGTTCTGCAGCAGGGAGCACGCGGGGAGGAGAGAGAGGAGAGAAAGGCAAAGAGAGAGAAAGAGTTAGAGGAGAGGAGGACTTCTTCTTCCCCTGCACTGACATGGTTAGAAAGCAAAACCTCAGTGAGACAGGGCTGGATGGAGCTGGGGGCACGGGAAGGGGAGGCCGGGTGTGGAGGCCGCGGCCTGTGCTGGGCCTCTCTGCCGGCTGCTCCAGAAGGGGCTGGTGCTGGGGTTTCAGGTTAGTTGGGGGAAGAAAATCATTCACTCATCTCCTTAAAGAGATGTCCTGTCCCTGCTGGGTCCTTCTGCCCCTTGTGAGGCCTTCCACCTCCACAGACACCGTGGTGGAGGCCGGGGGGCACCAAGGAGCCCAGCGGGGTGTGTACGGGCTGCGTCATGGAGGAGCCTTAGCAGGGACGTGGAGGCGACTGCTAAGACCTTTTTTCTTTTTAATTATCCTTTCCGAAGCTCCACTTGGAGCCTGTTTTCCCCAAGCTACAGGAGCTGTTGGCAGAGAGGAGGCAGAGTGGACAGAGGGAGAGGAGAGAAGGAGGCGAGGTGGGGTGAGGTGAGGCTCCTCCGCCAGCTTGGTGCGGGCTTGGGGGCAGCCGCACGCTGCTGGTGGTGAGAGGGGAAGGAAGGCAGGGCACAGCTCTCAGATCCACCTCCATCATTAACTTACTCTGGAAATTAACACGAAGCCATGCCCAGCTGCTCCACGGCAAAATCCAGGAGAGGCCGCAGGCACTGCAGTGCTCGCGGACACCCAGCACAGCCGAGGTGGCTCGGGCTTGCCTGGATTCATGAGAGCACACGTGTTTGCTAATGAAATGATGACCCAATTACACATTTTGGAGTTTTCCATGAATGTTTTATTAGTGAGTCATTTTCTTAGCTACACTCTGACTGCAGCTTTTGCATGCAAAATTTAGCAGATGTCTGATTTCATCTTGAAAGGCTTTGAGATTACGCTGTTGTTTCCTTGGCAAGGAGTAGCTGTGAATGCCAAGTAGTTGCTTTCCAAAGCTTCTGGACCTCATTTGATCCTTATCTCTTTTTTTTTAAGGAACTTTTTCATGGGAAAGCAGGAAAACCACGGCAGATGGATGTGGCTCTTCTTGCCTTGATCGAATGGCCTTTGCAAAAAACGCTGGGTCCTGAGGTTTTGGTGGCAAGTAGCTGGGTGGGTTTTAGTTGGTTTCAGCTCTTTGTTCATCCCGTTTTGTTCCATAAATGCATGTTAAAGAAAGGAGTGCTGCTGGAGGAGCAGCTGAAACGAACAAAGGCTGTGCCTGGGGGAATCTAAGCCCCAATGCAAAGATTACCCTGGTAACTTCTGAGCCCTGGATATCTGAGCAGGATGGCATCCTGGGGGAGACCTTACGGGATCCTCCATACAAATACCAAAGGCAAACCCCTTCTCCATGAGCCGGTCGTCATCTTCAGAGCTGGCCTGAGATCCTGCCTGGGCTGCAGGCTGGGAGGTTCGGGAGCTGCTGAGGCCAGGTCCAGCTGAAGTTACACCACTGAAAACCGGTGAAGTCAACAGGAATAACATCTAACTTCCCATGTTTGGGCTGATGGAAAATTTTCCCTTGCTGTCTTCGAGTTTGTGTTTGTGCTTTGTGTTCCTTGCCTCCAGTGATGGAAGCCCTTTGGTTCAGACACAAAAGAACAAACTGACACGAGTTACTTTGAAGGGACCGAGAGGTGCTCCAAGTATTGTGTCACTGCAATGGGGAGAAAGCACGACTTACTGAAACGAACCAGAAATAGCTCTTTTGTCGCTGTGCTGATTGATGGAGGAAAAGCAATGCAAAACTTGCTGCTTGTCACAATTTGCAACCACGATATGAGAGGAAAGCTTGGGGAAGCGGGGACACTGCCAACAAGCAAAGGACACCAGCCATGCTGCCCACATCGCCCCACTTTACTTAAATGGCTTTCATGCAGGTGCTTGGATCAGATAAACACCACAGACAAGCTTGGATCAGATAAAAGATCACAGCCAAATGGCAGATCTTTAAGGCAAAAGGGGTCAGGGTGGAGGTGGCTGCTCTCATGCCCCGGTGTTGTTGCACTTGGCAGCGAGTGGCACGGATACAAAGGCGATCACTCACCTTTTGGGCTGATCCTTTTCAAATTCCTTATGGCCAGGTGAGTGAGGCTGGGATGGACAACTGCCATGGGCTGGATGGACAGACAGATGCTCTGCCATGGCTTCAGCAGTGCCGCAGGATGGTGACAGACAGCACGGAGCAGCAGGGCCGAGAAAAAGCAGCGCACGCTCAAGGGAGACACAATAAAACCCTCTCACGCTAGAAAAGAGCTGGCACTTTATTAACATTTTGTAACTAATAAATACATTACCGACAGCCAATAAATTATTACAATCGCTAACGCTCTATGAAACCAACGGACAGTCACTCTTCGTACAAAATTACAGTTAATACAGGCTGGGCCATCGAACATGCAGGAGGAACGGCTCGGCGGGGGGGCGGCACGAGGGGGCCCCCGGCGATCCGTCGGGAAGAGGTCGGTGGCGGAGAGGGGACAGCGGGCAGGGCAGCCCTGAGGCACGGTGATGGTCACTGTTCCCTTGTTGAGCTGGAGGGAGGGGAAAGGGAGGTGGGGGGAGAGGGCTGAGGGTGTTAAATGGGGTTTTAATGGGGTGGTGCTTTGTATTGAAACATGATGTGCGTGTGAGGCGGAGAGGGTGAGGCTGTCCTGGGTGAGCTGCGGTCCTGGAGCTGGGCTGGGGAGGGTTTGGGAGGATGTGGGGATCCTAGAAAATGAGAGGGGTTGGAATGGCCCTGGGGAGAGGGTGGTGAGGACCTCGTGCTGGTACCTGCTGCACTCTCCTCTCCCCACCTGGAGCCCAGCATTTGGAGGCAGAGCCTCCTGCCAGCGCCACGGGACAGCCAGGGTTTGGTTGTGAGACTGACGTGAAGGCTCTGTCAGGGTGGGTGATGCAGCTGTGGCTTCTGAATTTTTTTTTAGGGTGCAATATTGCAAATTGCAGAGGGAGAAGGTCCCAGCAGGGGACCTGAGCTGGCTTCTCCCAGCTGCAGGGTGCCAGCTGGGAGGCTCTGGTCCTCCTCCAGCAGGATGCGTTGGCCTTCAAGGGCCAGCACGTGTGCCCTGCCAGGGGCAGCATGGATCAAGATCTCCCCAGAGAGCACACAGGCTGCTGGCTCGGACATGAGAAGTCCTGGGAGAAGTCCCTCTCCATGGCCACGTTCTCAGCACAGCCTCCTATATAGGCCACGTACCTCTGTCTGTCAGCATCAATTACACTGTGGCATCGCAGGCGCTCAGAAATTACCATCTACACTTGAGTCTTGGGGCTTTTGGGGAGTGTTTCTGGCTGCTCTTTCCTCGGGGGAAACAGAGGCAAGACCATGGTCTGCCCTTCTGGGCAGCCTGTGCTGGGCTGTGCCCGATGGGGTTGGGAGCATTTCCTGGCTGGTTTGGGGTGGTGCTGTGCTGCACCGTCCCTGCTGACCTGCACGCTTCCACTAATGGGTATTTCAGGCTCCTTGGACAGGGTTGGGGAGCTTTTGGTCATAAGCCTGAAGCCAAACCTGGCCCATGACAAAGACACGGATGTCCCAGAGCTGCTCTTACCTAATGGAGCTGATGCTCAGCCCCGTTCCCAGGAGCTCTGCCACAAATATCTCACGTGCCATGGTGCAGGGTCTGGCAAACTGGGGTGTTCTGGCAAAAGGACATCTTACGGGGCTAACCCTCACCTCTTGAGGACCACTCCTGGCCTGGAAGCAAAGCCCGTTCCATGCCCCGATCAATTAAAGGCACTGGATATATTTTAGCACATGGCACAGCTGCTCTTGTTAATACCTCTAGTGTCCTTTAAAACAATCTAGTGTCCTTTAAAACAAAATTGTGTGTCCTGAGGACGTCCTGTGAGGATGTCCTCCCCTCCGTGGAGGTCCAGGCTGTGGTCCAGCTCTGGAGCCTGGGATTTGCCCACATTGTGCTGCACCTGGGCCCTGGGCCTTGCTGGGAAAGTAAGGAGAGCCCTGAGCCAGGGTGAGGGTGAGCAGCAAATTCTCACAAACTCCTGATAGAGGTGGGATTACTGGGAAGTGTCTTTTGGAGGCTGCTGGGGCACTGCAGGAGGCAGTGGCAGCAGGGATGTGCCCACGCTAGCAGACGGGCGGCCAGAAGGCCCTGCAGAGAGCTTGCACTTCCCTGGGCCACCCGTGAAAGCCAGAGCATGGTACGAAAAAGCTGGCCTTTGGGATAGGGAGCTGTGTGTGCAGCTGTGCTCCCCTGGCCTGTATTTATTGCTGTAAGCCCCGCTACTGCTGCCTCCTAGTGCGAGGTGGTGGCACATCCCAGTGCCTCATCTAGGGGTTCATTGCAAGCTTTTCCTTCCACGGGTTTCTCTATTCTGTTGAAATTACTTTTTAAATAAGGGTCCTACGGGGAATTTTTTCATCCTGTGTATCCACACACCTGGCCCTCTCGTTGCTGATGGAGCACGAGGAGGGTTTCTGTCTGTCTGCTGCTGCCCGAAGCTCACCGTGACTTGTCAGAGCTGCTCTGAACGCGGTGCCACGTGGATGCTGCTGCTGGACCGGGGTCATTAAAACCTGCATCCACTGAGCCACCAGCAGGCGTGCCAAAATCAGGCACCGTTTGCACAGTTCCCCTATTAGCTCTGAAGGGTACACGCAACATCTCTAGGCAATTCCTGCAAGGACTGCCGGGGTTGAGGACTGAGAAAAAGCACCGGGCAAAAAAATTGCCTGCGAAAGGCACATCTGTCAGAAAGGGCCTGGGAGGGATGCAGGAACCCAGCGGTGAGTAATGCTTTGGCAGGCGTTCTTGGGGACAAAAAAAAAAAAAACTATACAAGGCCATCAAGTGGGAAAAATAGTAGTGTTTAACGCTGAAAGCATTTCATCTTTCAAACACCGTTTCAAGCCTTTGTCAGTTAATCCTCACGACACTTCTGTGAGGGAGGGAATGTCAGCAGCAGCAGCTGAAATGAAGCTTTAGATGTACAATATGCCAAAGAAAATGAAAGAAAAGGCTCAGTGTGTCAACATTTCCTCCTCTTTTTCTCTCCTGCGTCCCTGCGGAGTGCCAGCTGGGGATGATAACCAACTGCCTGGGGATGCTGCTGGGGCTGGGTGGCTTTGCACCTCCTGGTCCCCTTTTGGGGTGCCCGAATCCAGCCCAGCGCAGGGTGTGAGAGCACCCGGCAGGACGGGTGGCACAGCTGCATTCAGCAGAGTTTGGGACTAATTCAGATTTTCTTCCCCAAAATATTCCTGCATGCTTTATGCTGGAATCTCCTGGAGCTTTGGCTTGGTGCTGCCTTTGCTGGGGACAGCTTCTGTTACATGCTGGATCGGAGGAAATGTCACGCACAGCAAGGGGTGGAAATAGAAAGCCTCCCAGCTCCTAGAGCTGCTGATCAAATTATTCTGATGGAGCTTCCTAAAGCGCTGCTCTGCTGCCCGTGTAGGCACCAGTGCACTGCTGTACACAGCTTCACCCTGGGTCTGGCAATAATGTGCGCTTCAGGTATCAAATGTAACTAACGTGCAGCTTCCTAGCCCTTATCTTGATGCTCAGTGCAGGTGTACATCACCCGAGCAAGCTCCAGGAGCATCCCTGTCGACCTGGGTCCCTCCAGCTAATTTCCTGCCTCCTTCCATGCCAGGAGCACCGTCCCGCTGCTGTTGTGCGCTGCCTTGAAAAGCAAAGCATGGAGATGAGTTAATTTGATAACCTCAGGCTGCTGTGCAAGAAGAGGGCTCTGCATTGGGCGGAGGGGAAGTTTGGGGGGTGAGACCTGAGTCCTGCGTATTTCTCTTTCATATTCAGTGCCTGTTTAGGCACTCAGCTCCTCTTCCTGCAAGAAGCAGCAGGCTGGTGGCATCTTACTGTCATTCCCTTGGCTTTAGTCTCTGGGGATGAGAGCTCAGCACGCCTAGAAATCTTTCTGAGGCTGGGGCAGGCAGCTGGTACCTCCTAGGGAACCAGAGAGAACTGGGCACGTGTTGAAAACCCTTTATTTGAGGATCCTTCCCCCTGACTCTGAAACTCCTGGGCTAAAACAAAGCTATGTGCAGGTGCCTCGTGTTCAGGGCTCCTTTGGGCTGATGGCAGCGTGCTGGCACTGTGGAGGGGCTGGGGGCTGCCAGAGGACTTTAAGGCTGAGATTCCTCTGACTCTGCCAGAGGAATTTAAGGCTGAGATGGTGAAGAGAAAGGTGGCTTGTGCCGGAGCAGAGACCTGGTGTTATGGCTGGGAGCATCCAGCAGAGGAGCAGCGAGCCCTCCCTGTGCAATGTGAAACAGTTCTATAATTATGTGCTAATTAAGGGGGTGCTGGCACAGCTGTGAGCCACGCGATGGGGTGAGGTGGGTGAGCACCACCCTGCTTTCCTCCTGCCCTGCATCCTGGGGTTCTGTCAGACCCCCGCCAGCACCGTCCCTGGCAGAGCACAGCCTCGGATGGCAAAACCCCTCCAGCCTCCCGGGACCGCTTCTCTTCCCATCTTTCCCTTCCTCCCTGCTGCCTCAACCTGCCTCATCGCCCTTCTGCAACTTCTGCCCCAAACCGAGCCCCCCAGACCCCAGCTCCTGTCCCCTCCGTCCCTTCCCTACCTGCTCCTCACCCTGCCTCCCGCAGCCCCGCTCACCTGGCCCCTCGCCTTTGGGCTGTGCTGCTTTGGCCTGCTCTCACGTCACCTCTCCTGGGTGGGCACAGCAAGGAAACAGCCGTTCTCCTGCTCAGATGTGGCACTGGAGGAGTCCCTGACCTCTCGAGAGCTGAAAGCAAGCCCTGGTGGGGGCTCTGAGGAGAGGGCAGCTGGACTCGTGGCTGTCCTGGAAAGACTCAGGCTTGTGGACTTCCACGAGAGGCAGGGAAGGAGCTGGGAGGTGGCTGTCTCACTTTTGGGGTGGACTGTTAAGGGTCCCTCTGTGTTCCCAGAGGTCACACCTGACCTCTCAGGCTCCCCCTCCAACTTCACCTGGAGCTTGTGGCGATGGCAGGCCACACGTGCCCCAGCCCAGCCTTGCTCATCCTTCCCTCTGTGCCCACACCTTCTGTCATGCTGGGTGCTGCTCTCGTCCTTTCCACACCTCCCCCCTGACTTTCCTTCCTTCCTTTCCTCTCTCCCTTGCACTTATCCTTCCTGCTCCATCACTTGGCACAAATCAGCTCCCTGAGCCTTCCCTCCCTGTTAACAAACCATCCCTCGTGCTTTGGATACGGGTAAAGAGGTGACCCGGTGGGGGCACCAAACCTGGAGCCACCCTCCTGGATGCTCAGGGAGGAGGTGACACGAGGCCACCTGCTTCTGCTCAGCCAGGAGGCTCCGGATGGAGGCCTAGGGGCATTTACATGAGCTGAAGGGATCCCTCGCACCCCACCATCACCCAAACCTGGTGAGGTTTCCAAAATCACCCCTCTGCATTTTAGGTACGTGAAGGTCAAACCCTGGCTTTGCGGGGACGGCAAGGGCTGTGCCTTGCTATGAGCATCCCTGGTGCTGACTGTGGTGCACACGCAGCCCCGAATGGGACACATCCTGCCTCAACTGCGTGGCACACAGGGAAATCCCCATCACCTGCTGGCCACGGGCATCCTCACGGAATCATCTAGGTTGGAAGAGCCCTCCAAGGTCACCATCCTCGTTACAGCCCAGCCCGCTCCATGCAGCAGCTCCGCGGGACGGGAGTAAGATCCGGGTTACTGAGAACACTAGGCAGATTTTAACGTTAATTTTGGAAAACTGGAGGTAAAACTGTTACTGGTAATGAATGCTTTTAGGCAATGCTTAGTAGGTTTTGTTACTGCGTCCGTCTTAGACACCAGCACAACTCAGTATGGCTGTTTCACTTGTTCAAAGAGCTGGCTGAAAAAAGGGAGAATGTACAAAGCCAGGCTGCCGGGGCTGCGTTCAGCACCCCCTCTGGCTTTGGGGTGGGAACTGGAGCCACAGGGTACCTTCAAAATGGTCACGTGTCTAGTACTTCTCAAACAAATAGTAATTGTGAAAAAGATAAATAAGGAGAATTACAAATATCCCTTATTTTCAAGGGAAAAAAAAAAAAGAGGTTTTGGTTCCAAACTACGCTGTTGCTGACAAATATTTTAAGGCTTTGAGTTTTTCTTTTTTTGTAAATGGAGTATTTCTGGTTTTTGGCAGTTGAAATGCACTTTGTGGGAAATGTATTAGCTCCCTCTACAGCACTGTGAACTGGAACGGAAGAGTAGAAAGAGGCAGCGCGGGGAATTCACCCAAAATAAACCAAAACAAAATCAAACGGGGCTGGGGGGAGGCAGAACTTGCTGCAGAGTTTCCTGGGGCAGAAGGAGGGGTTTACGTACTCCTTCCTCATTGCCTTCCGAGGAGGAGGAGAAGAAAGAGAGAGGACCTGTCCGCGGGGCTGCGGGCGCTCCTGGCGGCTGCGAGGAGAGGAGGGGAGGAGAGGGCTTTAGTAGAGTCCGCATCCCCGCAGGTTGTTGGCGATGATGACATCCGTGACAGCGTCGAAGACGAACTGGATGTTGTTGGTGTCGGTGGCGCAGGTGATGTGCGTGTAGATCTCCTTGTTGGGGGACTTGTTCTTGCTCTCGTACTGAGCCTGGATGTAAGCCACTGCCTCGGTGAAAGAGTTGGGGCCTGTGAGAGCCGAGAGGAAAGGAAAAAAGAGCAGGTTAAAGCAGTCCCATAGCCCTGTGTCTGCAGGGGGAGGGTCAGCAGCTGCTGACACCATGAGCAGCACGCATGTGTAGGAATGAGGGGGGGGCTCGCAGGGCTTGTGGGGATCCAGCTGCCACCACGTGCAGGGAACTGGTCCCAGGGATGAGCACTGCTAACAGCCCAGGGCTGTGAGGAAGAGGATGGCTCCACCTCGAGCCATCTCAGCCCTGGCTGTGTGCGGGGCTGCTGTTGCGTCACGCATGGAGGTGAAATGGGTGAGGGAGAGGGGGCAGGCTCTTGGGCAGCCTGTGATGAGAAACCCAAAATAAACTCCTCATGATGGTGACAAAAAAAGGAGTTAAAAAAATCTGCCAGGAATGTGGTAAGTACTTGGCCTGGTGAAAAGGTTGTCATTGTTTTCCTTTTTTAGACTTTTTTTTTTTGATTAAAATTTGTTTTAAATGGAAAAGAACAGTTAAAACATCCACGAATTGGGGACAGCAATGGTAACCGTGTCCTCCTTTCCCTGAACTGCTAAGAGAAAAGGATATGAAAAGAACTAACCTGTGTTACAGAGAAAAGTGGATGAGCAAAATACCAGGAGCAGGCTGTTGCACAAGGATTGGTGTAAAGAATTTGGGACTAGATCCACACACGGTATGCAAACGGGAGGCATTTTATGAAAGGGAAGTTGGGCTCTCAAAAATCTGAGGATTTAGATCCCTTCTGAGCTAGCAGGGAATCACTAACGCCAGCTTGGTTTAAAATGTGCCCTGGATTCTGCTGCTGCTTTGCTTAGTATTGTGGATTAGTTAAAAGCATGGGTGAATTAAGGGGATGGAAACAGTCAGTGCTGTAGCACGCAGCGAGCGAATTTGTGAATGCAGTCTTCTAATAATTCTCTGTCAGCAGAACTAATGGACATTAGAAACTTCATTTTATTAAAAGCATTTTGTGTAACCGACTTTCGATGTTAGAAGCCCGCCTGTTTGATTTATGGGCTTTCATCAAATATTTCTTTTTAGCTCCAGGGCAACTGTGCCCTTAATGCTGCTTTTTCACCAGGCCACCAGGCCAACTGCAGGCGTTTCTTGGTGGGCTTTCTTTGATATGTACGAAGCAGACTTCTGAGGGCCTCATCCTCTGAGCCTCCCCTGGCTGATTCCTTCATGGCCATGGTCAGCAAAGCACGAGGGAGAGAGCTGAAGGGATCTGCCTGGGTCTAAAGTCTGGGCTTAATGTTAGCATGTGCTGACCTCTGTCTTGTGACAGGACTGCTGGGCGCCTCTGGGTGAGGCATTCCTCACCGCTGGCTCACCTCCCTGTTGGAGCAGAACCAGGACTTTCAGTGCCCTGGTGAAGAACAGGAGGGGATCTTGTGGGGCGTTTTAAAAGGCTGAGGGGATAAGCTTGCAGCTCAGCTCTCATTTTCCTAAAGAGGAGTGCTGCTGGGGGGTCACCTCCTTCTCCACCACTGCCCCATGCCCCCACCCAGCCTCTGCAGCGGTACAAGAGAGGAGAGCTCTGGGGCTGCCATTGTGATGAGTCCCAAAATCCAGAATGGCACCTCAAGGAAATTTAATGCATGTTTGGGGTACTCTGAGAACTGGGAAGGATTGCTTTGGTTTACTGCCGTGTACTGAAGAGCTCTAGAAGCAAGCTATGTTTGTTTTCCTCTGCTGAGAACTTAGCCACATGTGTACTAGGGTCTGCCTCCCACACTGAACTCATCTCTTGGGCTGGAATAATTTAGGGATGAAAAGTTAAATCTGAGACTACAATCCCTGCTGTTCTTGTATCTCGACCATCCGAAGCTTGTAAGAATATTATTTCAGTGCAGGGTTACTGGGAGACTGCAGCAAAGATTAACAAAATCAGCTCCACAAAATGTGAAGAAGAAAGAGTGAAAGGTGCAGGTTCGCTTCATTGGGAAAAGGGAAAAAAGGAAGAGGGTATAAGAAAAAACCTTCCAGTATAAAAAGTGCAGCTATAAAGAAGGTAGTGTGCAGCTGCTCTACAAGCCACCCAAAAGAGGGCAAGCAACAACCTCCTCTGCAACCAAGAAAAATTTGGGGCTGGCACTATTATGAACTGTAAAGACTGAAATTTCCATTATTAGATCTTTAAGACAAACGTGCCAGGAATATTTTGGTTCTGTCTGGACCAAGGGGACAATTAGCTGGCCAAAATTCCAAACCTTCCCCAGAGAGGAAGCCTACAGATGTTCTTCTGAACTCAATCAGAGTCATTCAGCTCCACGTTCATCTCCCATTCAGCCTGAAGGAGCAAGGGTGGATCGCTCCTGCCTATTCGTAGGGAAAATCCAGTGCTTAGTGATAAGAAGCTCTGGTTCATAATTTGCTGGCCTGCCCAGAAATGTGACACTCTTGGTACTCCCGGCTCTCAGCTACGTTTTCTGACAAAGAGATCTGGTTCTCTGTCTGTCAGCTTGATTCATCTGGATGTCTCTGGTGAGCTTAAATAATTCATGACGATAAAAGTTTATTTTTATGCTCTCTCGGAATGGTAATGAGGGTTTGTGGAAGCTGGCGTGATGCAGCGGGAAGCAGCGGGGTGCAGCTGCAGACTTCGCATGGGTGATGTATGCTCATCATTAGCGGGTCAGATGCCAGGTAGCCAGCAGGAGCGAGGGCTTCTTGCACGCTGCCCTGTTGCAGAGCCCCGGCTCTGATCTCCGAGCATCATCACAGCCTCTTTCTCCCCAGCAAGGCTCAGGGCATGGCTTGCCATGGCTCCTCTGTGCCTGTGCTACGGGTTACAAGGTGTGCGTGGCACAAGGAAATCAAGCACCTTGTTTGAAGCTGCATTTAACTGGAAGAGTTTTCATGTCCGGATGCTTGATGTTAGCAAGACTGAGAGTGAAAATGGGGGTCTCCCAAACTAATGGGACAAAACTTCTACAGCTTGGGCTGAAGAAAGGAAGCTGTGGGACCTGCTGGCTGTGAGCTTGTGGCCTTTTGGTAGTGGTCGGGAGTCACACCCGGATCCTGTGTCACCAAGGACCCACAGGGGGCAGTGATGGGTTCTGAACCAGCAAAACTTGGACTCTGTCCGTGGGCAGCCTCACAAACCTTGTCCCCGAGACCAACTCCCTGTTTGTGATGGCTGAGCTCACTGGGCCTTTCTGCCAGATCTGCAAGAGGGATCAGAGCTGGGGCTGGAAACCAGGGCACAGCTCCTGGATCTAAGCCATCCTTGTGCTTTACGTGGGCCACTGAACAGCCCCAAGGAGATGGTGGGGGCATTTATTGAGATACAACTTGTGCAGTAAGGCCGATGGGAACCCCTAGCTGTGCATCCTGAAATCTTTAGCCTCACTGCTTGCAACACAGCCCAGTAACGCCCTGGATGGGGAATGCTCTGTGCAGCCACTCGCTCTCTGCTATGCAATCCTGTACATCCAGCATTCTCATTACCTGTGTACTCAGGAAAGCAGATAGTCAGTGGAGATTTCTTAATTTTCTCCTCAAATATGTCCTTCTTGTTTAGAAAGAGGATGATAGATGTATCTGTGAACCACTTGTTGTTGCAGATGCTGTCAAACAGCTTCAGTGATTCGTGCATGCGGTTCTGCAATAGAAAGGAGAGATCACATCAGGCCGAAGGCAGCGACTCGGGGATGTTCAACATGTAAGGAAGTCTAAAAAAACTAAATTAAGGAGGAAAACAAAAAAAAAGAACAGCTACAATATACATAATAAATTATGTATACATACAGCTGAACGTATACATACACAGATGCAATCCCTAGGACACTGGACGTACAGTTAGTAACTTAAGGGCATTTAACTATACAGAGCTGTTTTGATTTTGCATAGCATATAATTTACTGGATCCCAGCTCATAGAAATCATCATGCACCATGCATGGATGGGAAGTTATTTTTGCCCTTTTTGATCAGATTCATGTGTCGGTGTAGCTCATGCAGATTTTCTAAAACTTTTTTTTTTTTTTAAACTTTCTTCAGTGTGTGGCACACAATTGGTTGGGTACATTAACCAAGGACTGGGAGATCCTTGAATTAATCTAGAGTTGGAAGCAGACACCCAGGTGACATAAGTTTGGAAATGACCTTGCCGTGACCTTTGCCTGGTTTTGTTATTTTGTTTAGTGCTGTTGTCTGTTGTTGTGCTTTTCATTTTTTTTTTAATTTGTATTTTTAGTTCTCTTTGAAAGTGGCTCAACAAGAAGTGTCTGGCAAAGAGAGGAAAAAAAGGAGAAAAAGGAAGAGGAAAAAGTATAAAAAAGAAAAAAGGAAGGAAGGGCATCTCAGAAGGACCAGACTACATGTCAGCCAGCTAGCACTGATGTTAGCGCATGCCTCTAGGAAGAATGTTAGCTGCTCACCAGGAGGAGAGCTGTGAGTTCAAATGCACGCACAGCAAGAGGTCAGCTTTTTGGTTATGGGTCATGCAAAAACCGACACAGGAAAGAAGAGAGAGATAAAAAGGAATGAAAAAAAGACCAGTTAGAGAGCTGCAAAGTCCGCCACGTGGTTTCATGGTGGTGGAAAGAGCTCACGGCAAAGTCAACCAAGAGTCATGTTCCCCGCTGCTTTCAACTCTCAACTCAGTTTCTTTTTTTTTTTTTCTTGGTCAAGAGAAGCTCCATACCTGCCAAATTTGGTTGGTCTCTCAAATGCTCATTTTTTGGCCTTTGTTTGGCTAGATAAGGTCGGGCGGCCGAGGAAAAGTTGTGAAGGTGCTGAGGCTTGGTGCTGTTTGGCGCGAGAGGCCGCCGCCGGAGTGCGCACGCCGGTCGCGTGGCCGTCTCTCCACCGGGAGCGGGGCAGCAGAGAGAGCAGGCGCCGTGAGGACGGGGTTACCAAAGGCAAATCGGGTTACAGGCCGGCTCCTCGGCTCGTCCCCGCGGCAGCTCCTTGGGACAGCACTCCCCAAACCCGCTAGTGCACACACAAGATGTTACAGCCAACGCAGGAGACACGCTAGAGAGAACAGGGCTGCGCGCGCCGGCAGCTTAATTGAGCCCGGTGCGTTATTGATTAACGCCTTCCTTTTCACCGACACGCGTCAGCTGCTGCTGAACGTTTTAGTTAGATGCAAGAGGCCCTGTGGAAAGAAGCAGCCGACGCAGCTCAGAGGGAAAGGGGACGCTGCCGCCGGGTGCTTTGCAGAGCTCGCGGCGAGCGAGCGCCTCTCCGCCCAGCAGCGGCGCACGGGGAGGCCGCGGTCGTGTACAGCTGGAGAAATGCATTTATTTATGGGCCTCGGTTGGAAGATGTTCGCGTATCTGGATCATCCCACGTTTGTGTGCTGTTTTTCTGCTAACTCACTGTGTGCGGGCTGCTGTGGGAGCCACAGAGCAACGCTCCTCTGTTACTCGTGGTCTCAAAATTGTAACCGCGTAGGAACCCACAGACATTTTGTACAGGAGGTCCTTGGCTACCCACAGCCCTTCGGGAGGAGAGAAGAAAGCGGAGGGTGGTCAGGGGAACAGAAAGCAAATATAATCAACTGTTTTCAAGCAGGGTCCCTCAGAGAACATTTTTAAGAACATTTTTTATCATTCTCACTGATGTAAAATAAAAGCAGAGAGAAACAGACGAACGCTTGCCGTGGTTTAAGCGAATAACCTCGTTCGCAGCAGCCTTCGGCCTCGGTGTCACTGTACTTACCGTGCCGCACCTCGCCGGCCCCGTGCCAGTAGGGCATCGGGTTTGGGTAGGAGAAAGAAGCCAAAGCCTTATCCTGGGATGGTTCCCAGGAGCTTCATGATTAGGTGAAGCTTACTCTCCTAGGGCAGCAAGGCTATGTAAGGGCCCTACAAAATCCTTCTGCTCCTCTTCTATGGCTTGATTAGTTTGCATTGATACCTGTTAGGACATGACAGCGTTTCCCCAAGAAGCAGTGACTCTTAGCATTCAGTTTGACGGAACATACATGCAATGCAAACCAGTGCATCCCTGGAGGGAATGACAGTCAGGATAAAAATCCCCTTTCCTTTCAAATTCGCAAGGTGGGTTTTGAAGCTCTGTGAGGCTGCTGACCTGGCTGCCTGCTCTGTATCGGGAGATTTTTGCCCTACCTCTGTTGCTTAGCTGGGCAAACACCACCACGGCTCTGCTCACTCTTCCTTATTCACTCAGGAGAGGTTCTGGTCCTAAAACCCACCTTTTCCTTTTCCTACTGCCCCATGGGGAATGCTCTCATGTCGCAGAGGGCTCCTGGGAACCCACCAGAGCAGCTCCCCGTTTCCACAAGCTGTCCTGTACCACCTCACTCCAGGAACGGCTCCCTGCCTGCCCTCCAGAAACACTCACAACCCCTCTTATTTTTTTCCCCAGAGCTCAGGAGCAGAGCCGGTTGTTTCTGCAACACAGCTGCTGCAATCTTTTTTGTTCTCCTCCACGACTAAGAGCCAACTGCCATGCAAACCGTGAGGCCACTGACCATTATCCTCAGCACAGAAACTCCACATCCCCCTCCTGGTTGATCTCCTAAGATGCCCAAGCTGCTGCCACTTGCTTCGTCACTGCTGAGGAAATCTCCGAGTGCTGCAATTCAATTTTCAGTGCCCAATGGCAGCAGGGAGAGCACGCTAACCAGGTCAGGCAATGAAATACGAACTAACAGGCCGCCACTAATGCACACCAAGGGTCACCAGCACCGTGCCTTCTACTCATTACACGTTCAGCAACGGGAACACAAACAATACCTTCATATCTTAGCCAGATATGGATGACCTAAATATCTCAGTTTCAGAGGCAGCAATATGCAGCATCTCCTTCTCTTGCCACGGCTCCGTTGCATTTGTGAGGAGGAACCAAAGAGGACAGTAGAGGTTCCCATGACAGGTCCCATGCCACTGCTGGCTTTAAAACATTTAAAAGGAACAACGTGCATCTGCCTTTGTTAATCAGCTGCTCCTCTTTTGCTGGTTATTATGACTGATGTCCCTCTCCCCTCCTCCTAGTTACAAGTCCGAGTCTTTTTCTTCTCCAGCCTCGTCTTATCAAACACAAAGATAAGCCACAAATGAGACAAAATAGCATCATTAGGCAAAAACACAATCTACTGAGCTGCTCAGCCAGTTACAGGGAGATGTTGCCACTGTGTACAAAAACCCCATAGCAGACAAGCAGACAGCCACGCAAGTCCTTGCATCAGTAGCTGCAGGGGAGGTGTAATACCTTGAAGGCAGCGTCTTGTCCATTGCAGTGGGTTGGGCAGGGTGTGCAATTTTGGCTGCTGAGCTCAGGCTGTGTCTGGCAGCAGTGGCACTGCCTGAATTTCCCTGCGGGTTTGCTCCTCTCTGCTTGTGAGCTGGGCACGCACAGTGCCCAGCAGCCTGGCCGTGGGACGTGGTGCTGCAGGAAGTGGTGTGAGCAGTATCTGGGGCAGTGTGCGTGGCTGGACTCAACAGGGCTGGGTGCTCCTGTGCAGAATGTGGTCTCTGGGGGCAAACGGGCATCTAAATCACGGGTGCAGAGAGATTTCCTTCTGATCTGGATGCAGAGAAGTACTTGCCTTCCGTGACTCCCATGGTGTTGCTCTTTGTGGCAGGGAATTGGAGCGAAAACACATCCCTTAAAAGACGATCTGGTCTTGCTGAGAGAGGGCTCTGCACACAACAGCTCATGTTAGCTGCTGCAGGAGGATGGGTGCCGAGTCTTTCAGAACAAAGAGTGCAAAAAACTTCAAAAAAACCCTTACCAGCTTAGAGATGTGCTTTACATTTAAGGGAAGGGGCAGGTCAGCGGGCATTTCACTAGGCCCCCTTTAACCAGCTCTTTGCTCAGTCCTGTTTGAAAGGATTTAGAGCAAACCTGTTGTTCGTGGGCTTATTTCCCTGTCACAAGCTGACCCTACCACTACACTGATCCCAGTGCTCTGATGTTAACCAGAGCTGAGCAAGGTGAGCCCTTGCTCTGTGGTGAAGTCTTTGAACACGTTTGCACTGCAGCTTCATCTGCCCAAAGTGTGGCCTGGCTTACAGAAGCATAAAAAAGCCATTGTGAAATCCCATGATTATTGTCACCTGGACACTGAATGCACCAGGAAACGCTGTTCCCTCCACGCGCCAGCTTTTCAAGTGGTTTTTGGGCATCCAGCATGTAGCAGGGCTCCTTCCTTCTCACAGCTCCGTGCCAGCAATGAGAGCACTACAGGTCTTTTCACATCTGGACAGCCCCCGACCTCCAGCGGCTTACTGAAGCTGGAAGTGCCTGCACCACAGTGCACATTTCTATGGGAAATGAAGATGGAGGAACAGCATCCAGCTCTTAGCTGCCTCCTCTTTTGTGTTTTCTAAGTGAGAAGCAATAAAAGCTGATTTACGTCATTAGAGGCAGCAGATGTGACGGATGCAGGCAGCCGGCAGATCAGCTGACTGAAGAGATGCTGCTTTTACTGCTGGTTTTTGGACAGCAACCACGTTATCAGGGGGGAGAGAGGGTGCTAGGGGGTGAAGCTGAGAGAGGACCGAGGTCTGTGGGTGCCGAGCTTCCCACCTGCCCTTTGCGCAGCGGGTCCAGCAGGGCAGACAAGATGCGACACTGTCGTTCCTCTGATTTGCATCGGCCTCGCTCAGGGTTGTTTATTTGGGTTAGGCGGGGGCGTCCTGCAGCGTGGCAGAGTTGGTGCCGAATCCTCTCCCCATTTACACTGAATGTGTAAATGAACAGCAGCTGCCTCTGCCCTCCTGTTGCTCTGCATCCCCAGAAATGCTTTGTGAAAAGGATTTGAAGCAGCGAGCGAATGTCAGCGCTGCGGCAGAGCCTTCCTGATGCAAAAGCAAAGTCAGAGCTGCACAAATCCTGGCTTCTGCAGCGGGGCACTTGAGAGAGGAGGCTGAGACACCCTGCTCAGGGCCTTTCTGTGCCAGGAGGGAACTGGTAGTGGCCCTTGGCTTCACAGTTTGGGTCATACCTACAGAACACCTTGTTCTCTTCTCACGCCACACGTTTGCTCACTGCCCTGCACGTCTGTCCTCTCCCTGTGTATTCTTCATGTCCTTGGTGTGCTTGTCCTGACCTGTATGGCATTGAGTTAATGGCTGGGTTTTTCACATCACGTCGGGAGGTTTTGATTCCTCCCCAGTGAATCCTACAGGACTCAGCATCCTGGAGCATATCGGGGCTGGAAGCAGAGGGAGGTGAGAACTGAGGATGGGTATCTCATGTAGGGTATCTCATGTAGGGTATCTCATGCAGGGTATCTCATGTCGGGTATCTCATGTAGGGTATCTCAGTCAGTCTCTAGCTACCTGGAGGGCCACAGGTGGGATGTTAACACCGTCCTGAATTCCAGCATCAGTATGACCTAAACAAATAGGTGACTTTATCCAACAGTCTGCCAGAGTTCAAATATCTAGCTTGGAAGAGGCTGCAAACCACAGCTCCACCAATATTTTTGGGAAGAGACACCTGATAACGAATAGCAACCACTGCCTCAGTTCCTTCCTCATCAGCAGCCTCCTGCAGGACTAACATCCTTACAAGCAGAAGAATAAAGGCCTTCAGACAGACGGGGCTGGCTGGAGCAAGCCCTTCATGATGCTGTAGACTGGGCACAGATGAAATAATTTCCTTAGCTGGGGTACGGCCTTTGACTCCTTTTTGTTAGACAAATGCAACCACGTGCTTGCCTCACTTGTTGGTCCTTAAAGCTTTCATTTCCATCACGCTGAATGAATGGCTAGAATTCAGTAATGAGTCTTCCTGCATCCTTTCTGTGTATTTAAATCATTTGTATTAATTGCACTCCTTCTAATACCAGGGAGCACGCAGGTCCTTGCTAACTTTGTTTCCAGATGGTATTTTGAGCCTAATGTCACAGTGGGAAGTTATAAAAGCACTCCTAGAGCAAATTACCTAAGGAATCAAACAGTTCCAGTTTCACTCATGAAAAAATGAATTTCTGTAGCCTGAAGAAATAGGTTAAACTCCTAGCCTGAGCCTGCCTCAGGAGGGCATGGCCTTCCCACGCCTCTCATCACCACGGTGTGACCAATTCCTTCAATTTGTTTTAAAAGCCCACCTATCTGCATCCCCTCTGCTTCTGGATATTGAGTCCTGTTAACACGCTTTGAAAACACACAGGTCAGCTAGAAAAGAGAAATACAACACCGTGACTTCCCCAGCGCAAGGAACCGTTACCTGGGAGTGCAGGACTTGGTTCTGAGGAGTGTGGAGGAGGACAAGTCTCCCCAGGATGTCAGTGAAAGGGGGAACGACCGACAAAAGCACATTGCTGTAGCGCCACAGCCAGCATAAGGCCATCTCCGAGCAGTTGCTGGCCACGCAGTGTCCCGTAAAGAAGCGTCGGGGCCTCCAAGACCCGGCTGGCACTCACCGTGGTTTCGTCTTCATGGAGCACCTGGTCGTAGCCGCTCAGCGCGACGCAGAAAATGATCGCTGTGACATCCTCAAAGCAGTGGATCCACTTCTTGCGTTCTGACCTCTGGCCTCCGACATCAAAGAGCCTGTGGCACAGGGGGGGACCGTCAGCGCTTGCTCTTTGTTAGATAAGAGGAAACTTTAACAGCGTGGGCGTTTTCTGGCCATAATGTCCCTGGGAGGCTCCGAACACAAAGCACCAGGTTGTTAACCACTGTCTCGGTCTCTTTGCTGGCTGACATCACAACCATCGATAAATAGTGTCAGCCAGACGTGATTTAACTCATTTTGGAGAAAATATGTGTATATTTACAAGGCTTTATCAGACCTGGGGCCAACTCATATTGTTTTTCTAAACAAAGAGGTGGCGGTTGGGTTAGAAGAAGGTACCATGAGCTCATATCTTAAAGGCAGTGGTTTTCAAGACAGGATTTACAAACTTTTCATGTTGCTGTACCCCAGAAATGCTGCATCCTCTGCAGTGGGAGCCATCAGTGAGTTAACTGGCAGGTTAATACCTTCTCTTTGGGGAACCACAGGGGAACACTGTGACAAATGAACACTCTGAAAATTTCCTGCTGCGTGCAGTTTCAGACTAACCTGAAGTGGAGGTTTTTGAATGTGAAGTGGGTTTCTACGATGCCAGTTGTTTTGACCCTGGTTCGAAGGATATCCTGCTCCGTGGGCTGGTAGTCTGCAGCTCCGATTCGATCTAAGCTGTCTAGGTAGCTAAAAGAAAGAGAGAAGGAGAAAAGAAAACAAAAGCAGATAAGACTCACATTAATCTTTGTCAATCTCAGATGAATCCTTCAGCTTCCTATTAATCATTTTCAATCTCATTTTTCATGGCTGAACGTATCGTGGCTAAAGAAGAAAACCCTTCTCCTATGCTGGGGAGAAAGAAACGTTACAAACCCCACTATCCTAAGAATAAAATCTGATAGTGAACTGAAAGCAGGAAATTAAGTGTTTGTGTGTTGTGAGCCCTGATGGCAATCTGTGAAAATACATAGTTTTAATATTACTTGCTATTTTTATTCCCTGAGGGACGAAAGTCCCAGTCGGGCCATTGTGCTGGGTGCTGTCCCCAGCGCAGGCTTTTCTGTAAGGACTTATTCACAACGTCACAGGCTCTCCAGATAAGAGGCTGGAGCAGAGAGGTCTCGCTGCTGGAACAGGCAGGTCGAGCCACCTTTGGGAGATGCTGCTCTCCTCTGGGAAGGGAGGGAGCCTGGGCAGCTTGCTGGGACGAGATGCTGTGCTTTCAGTCAGCTCGAATTAAGTGAGATGAAGCCGCCTGAGTGAGTCACTGCCTCAGCCTGAAATCGAACACGGGGCTGTGACTGCGGGAGATACACCACTTGGACCACATCCAGGGGCCAGCTCAGATGGTGGTAATCTGGGAGTTTACATCAGGGTTTTTTTTGGGGGGGTGGAAGGGAGATTTAGCTTTCTAACACACTTGGATAGTTTAAAAATATTTACCCTTATTCTGGTCCTGGCTTGAAATCTGTGAATGCAAGCATAACTTTTATATACTGAAACCTTGGGTATGAAGTCCTATCTTTGGGTGTGTTTGTAGAGGAACCCAGGAGCTGTGTAAATATCACCACAATCCATTTTTTCATCCACATTCAAGATAATTTTTAAAACAACCTAGGCCAATGAAATAGAATTTATAAAGAAAAGAGGAATTTGTTTTGGACTAGAATTCAATATGAATTATGAACACCTGGTTGCATCGCACAGCAAAGTCTTTCCCACCACTGTCAAGCTGGACACGGACACTCCCGTTCCTCTCGAAGGGCACTGATGTGCATTACAGAGCCCAAACGCCTGCCTCTAGCTCCAGGAGCATCAATGTCACGTGCATGAGATGCTCTCGACGTACTGTCGAGCCGGTGAGTATGAGCTTACCGGGGAGTAGAGGAAAGCCCAGCGGGCAGCTGGCAGGGCTGTGCCATGTCCCTGTACTCCTGTCCCCTGTCCTCCGTGCTGTTCCCCAGCCCTGCCTACAAAGCTGCTCTGCCAACCCCCCGTCCTGCTGCTCGAGACGGTTCCCCTGCTGCACCAGGGAGAAGGGTTTGCGTGCTGGAGGAGGGCGCTGAGTACAATGCCTGCTGCACTGGAGCCACGAACTCTCTGCACTCATTTTCACAGGCTTTCATGCCCACCCTGCTAGCTGGGAAAACCAGACAAACTCTAGGCTAAGGTGAAAACCAAGCTTTATCCTACTCATATCCCATATTTTGGCTACCCACCTTTTTTATCACCCTTTATTTTTGCTAAAGAATTGCAAGAATTGCGTCACCCAAAGAAAAGTACATAAGCTAAGCACGGTGGTTTTTACTCTGCCTTTTTTTCAAGCACTTAAAGATACTGTGGCTTTGTGACAGCTGCTCCCTTAATAGCCTTATGATGGGCCCTGGGTAGACGAATGGGGCTTCATTGGCTTGTGCTTGAAATAAGGCCCTTTGCTGTGACGGCTGAAGCCACGATCACTCCTCTATTCACAACCTGTTGTCAACTTCTGTTATTTAAGACAGCCGCATTTCTGCATCCCCACAGCTGGAGACAGCTCTGCGGGGCTGTTATTGAGAGACCCAAGCTTTCCCCAGTCCTCAGGAACAAGCCCTTAAATGCTTCGTGGTGAGGGTAGAAAGTAGATGGGAAAGAGCAAGACTTTTCCTTTTCATTTTAACCTGTTCCCTATTAATTAACTCTTGCCTTGGAGACCCTCCTTTCACGCTGGGAGTGCAGCAGATGAAGAACTCCGCTGTGAACTGGCCAAAGGACTCAGCATTGCAGCAATACAGCAGTCCCCGTGCTGGGACATCATCAGGTGGCTGTCCCTGTCCCCACCAGCAGTGGTGACACACAGTCGTGCACATGCAGCTCATAGCTCTGCCACATGGCATGCCCCTTGGTGCCCAGCAGCAAATGAGCTCCAGATTTTATGTGAACCTGCAAAAAATCTGGCTCTGTGGCTTCCCTTGCCCATCCCTATCCAGCAGTGATGCAGCTCCTGGTGCCTCCATCCCTCAGGGGCTGGTGGGAGCAGAGGCAGCCTCTAGAGGGGGCAGGACGATTGCAGTAGAGGGAGGAGAGCTGAGCAGGATCCACCCCATCCACCCTCTCCTCCCGGACAGTGTCCAGCTCCCGGTCCCAGCCTGGGGTATCTCCTTAGGAAGTGGGGCTGGGAGGGTCTCTGGCATCTGTCCAGCAAGCAGCAGCGATGCTGTGGGCTGTCAGGGCACAGTTCCCAGTGCTGAACTGGTGCTGTGATGGAGGACAACTCAACATCCCCAGCACACAGCCTCCCCTGGCTTTGGTGAGCTGAACGCTGTGAGTCTGGTGGCTCGGGGTCACTCACAGACCCCAGCTCCAATCCAAGCTTCCCCACACATCCTTTGCCTTTTCTATTAACTCTTCTCCTCTCTGTCTCTTTCCTCATTTCTAGTCTTTTCCACCGTCCTTTCTGTGTTTTTCAATGCCTGAAATTATTTCAGTTTTCTGGGTCTGCTTTTCACCTGTCCTGGTAGTCCTGTGAGGGTCAGCCATCAGTTTATAGGAGGCTATATAACATCTTCAGTGCTGTTTTCAAGGCTGCATTCCAAAACTGTTCACTCTCCTGGCTGTTCCCACCAGGAATCTCCCGTCTGCAGCAGATTTTTTCCCCCAGACTTGACCACAGCTGAGCTGGGCTCCATTGGTGTGAGCCCCGTGTTTCCCAGCTCTGCCAAAAGCCCTGCCGGAGGAGTGTGCCACTGCACAGCCGCCGTGCTAACACCCAGCTGCAGGAACGGAAGGCTCAGGCAGGCTGCTGTTCAGCTGCCGAGCTGATTTTAGCTCCTTGTTGCCTGGGGGTATCTCCTGTTCCTGCTGGAGGCATCTCCGAGGCTTCAAAGGAGCACCCGCGTGGCTTGGCAGGACCTGGTGGTGCGAGCTGAGGGTGCAGCGTGTTCGAGGAGCCACCTGCTCGGGAAGAGGGACATCCAGGTGGGGACAAATTGCTGCACATGGCATTGGATGGCAGCACTCCCGGTACACCCTTTGAACTGCAAATCTGAAGGCCAAACTGTTGCTGGAGACAATCGGTTGTCGCAGCCAACTGGCTCGATGACACATAATCCCCTCAGAAGCCGGCATCTGTTTAACTAGCAGAAATAAGAGCACTTTGGAGGCTGGGGAGCGAGCGCTCAGCTCTCCCCGCTCTACGTCATCCCCGTTGTTGCTTTGTGCTGGCACCAGAGCATCTTCTGCTCCAAGGCTCGGGGGGTTTGCAAACTGGAGTGGAAGCGTATCTGAAATGACACATCGGCTCTTACTTGCTGCCTGTGTTGCCCAGGGCTTGCAGGGGTTAAAAAAAAAGCTGCAGAAAGGTTAGGAGGTTTTTGAGTACATAAGTAACCCTCTAGCATTTACGCTCCCGAGCTGAGCAGCTCCATTACTGCTTATATCTTTTATCTTAAATGCTTTGTTTTGAAGCAGATTGCAGGTTTCTGAGTCACTCGGTTTATCAGGCTCAGGGACGTGAAGCCCAACTACGTTACGCTGCCAAAAGCAAAATGCACAAGGAGTGGCATTTCCCAAAGACAGGGAGAGGAGCAGATCGGTGTGAGGCTACGAAAGGCAGACGCTCTGTAAGGACTAGCTGATACTGAGTCTCCTCACAGGGTAATGTTGAAAATCGGGAGTAAATATAGTTTCTAACGGCATGTGGTAGCAGCACTGCTGATGCCAGAGACGCTGCGTGTAGGAAGGGCTGTTGTGGGAGTTACCTCTGGGAACAGAGTGGTGACGGCCTACGTGCACGGCGTGGACGGGGACCCTTCCCCAGGCACCCTGCCACCATGGAAACTCCTCCTGGGTCTGCGTCTGTGCCAAAGGCTCTGCAGGCTGCTATTTGCAATGAAGAAGCGTAGCTGAGGTCCCTGGCTGTGGTCAGAGCTGGATACCTGTGGCATGGCTTACACAGACGTGAACATTCACATGGGTTGAGGTTAATGGCAATAAAATAGTTCATTCTCTTTGGTTGCCTCGAAGGCAGCATCTTGGCAGTCTTTTTGCCAGCAGCATCCAGATCGCTGTGCCCCAGGCACTATGTGCACCCAAGGTGCTAACACAGTTCCAAGCCCACGTCCTCAGTGCTCACCAAGCTGTGGTGAAAGGGCAGCCCCAGCTTGTGTGCTGGTCTGGGGCAGATCTGGGGACAGAGGGGTAGGAAGGCAAGAAAACAAGCCTGCAGGCGGTGGAATCTTCTCAGATATTCCTTTGTGGTCCTGGTCCTGGCCTCTGTCCATGTCTCCTCCCTGAATGAAAGGCCACGTGTGGGATACTCCAGCAGTTGCTGCGCTGGCTTGGGTTGCATTCGATTGGGAAATCAGAGCACCATTTGTCAGCAGAAGCAGCTGAGTCACTGCTGGGTTATTTTCTGCTCCTTGTACAGAGGCGCTTGAGGGTTAGCTCCAACATGATGGCATGGTAGCTGCTGGCAAATGCTGACTTTTTAATCAAGGTTGTCATGAGCAGAATTCAATTCATCTCACTCCAGATGTTATTGTGGAGACGTCTCCACCCAGGCTGGTTGCACTGAGCTCCTTCACAGCTCATGGATGGAAAAGGGCATTTCAAATGTCTGCTGTCTGCTTCTGACATTACCTTGTACCCTAACTTCTTCCTTTCATTTGACAATGAACCAATAGCTTGATGTATATTTAGCATTAAAC